TCCACTAGTCCGGTAACGGTTTAAAATGGTCTAAATAACAAATCCGGTTTTATTGTATTAGTAAATCAGAGTTTTAAACTAAACTCGATCGGACCAGTCTAACTGGTCGGTCTAGTCCACTTTTCAGAATATTGACTGTTGGCCGCCGACAACCATCGCTAGCCATCGGTAGCTGGCAACCTAACATCGCACGAAATGTCAGAAATGGCTTTATCGACGCACGGAGGTCATTTTCAGCTAGAGATCCAGCCAAAAATGGCTATATCAATGCATGTAGGCCATTTCCGGCCTTCCGTGCATTGTTAAGTTGCCAACTACTGGCGACCGGCTCATGGAGGTCATTTTTGACCTTCCGTTCGTCGCTTCGGCGGCGGCGATAGCAGGTGGTTGCTGGCAATGGTTGCCAATGGCTGGCAACGTAGGTGACTAGGGGTGATAGCTTGGTTGGATTGCAATTTGTTTTGAATTCAAGGGTAATTTTATCAAAAAAGTTAGTTAATTAAGGTAAAATTGTAAAAGTTATATTCATGTAAATTGATTTTAAAACAAAAGCATTATTGTTTAAAAATTTTATTAATAAGGGATAAAATTGTAACAAAAATAAAATAATCAAGTAATCTTACAATACCAAGGAAAATGGAGATTATCATATTATTTTCAATATCACCAACAATAACTACTATCGGTATTGAAAGATTATCGAAATCTTATATTACTTGACAATCAAACATGTTAATTAAATAATATAAGATGATACAACCTTAATAATCCTATATAATTCCCAACTAAACACCCCCATTGGACTTTCCAGTGGAAGGATTAACAGAAGCAAAGTTGCATTTGAATTTAATTAAAGATAATTTGAACCTTAATTAGGCAATTAAGTGAGTTCCCCTGTTCAAAAAAGTAAAACCTTCCTTTGAGGTAGGCGGCTAGCTAATCGAAAAATTTAAACAATTTAAACTAAATGCTTGATGCTTTTCACCGTCAAGCATCACCAAGGTCCAGGTTTCAGGACCCATATTAATAAATGAAATCCTAATTAACCTCATTTTTTTTCTTCTATCTATATGCTATATATGCACCACTCTACTATAGGGAGCAAGGTTTAAAAACCCAGACTAGGATTAAACCCGACAAAGTGGTCGAGTCCTAAGTTGACCAGTTGAACCGATTTGACTGATAGATTAAACAAGTGACATTAGCATGTAAAAAGGTTTAAAATCTAACAAAAACACTCCTAAAAATTTCGTAAGTCCCTAAAAGTTTGAAATCTTGCAAAACACCCCAAATTACACCATCGGTGTCGACAACCCAGGCCAAATAGGGAATGTTTCCAGCGTCAACAACAAACCCCATCACCACGAAAACTCTCCCCTCAGTCTCCTGACCAAAACTCATCTCACCCCCCTTTCGCCTCACCAATCGACGGCAACAACAAGCTGTTGTCGTCGATTTATTTTTGCGATTTTCAGTCGTTTCACTCATTGGAAATCACCTCTATTACCATCTTTCCACTCACCGACCTTTCCTCTTTAAAACCTCCAACATCCCAGTCTTCAATTGTTTGCCAATCATCGTCCTAATTTATAGAGTTTTCTATGAACAGTAAAATTGGTAAATCAGTCCGGTGAAGGCCCTAGGTTCTGGTTGAACAGTTCAATCAGCTGGGCCAGACCAAGTTTTAAAACACATTAGGGAGGCTATATGTAGCATGGTTGAATTGAATTTTAAGTGCATTTGAATGCATCATTCATGTAAGTTAGGCACCGCCTTAAACGTAGTACTACACATATAATATTTTTATATAATATTTCTCATATAACATGACATGACAAATGATGATTAGATTAACATTTTTTTTAATTTAAATCAATCAATTATCTTTTATAACATTGTATGAAAAATATTGTATAAAAATATTATATGCGCCGTAGTACTCTCATGAGATTCCTTTAGAACATTTATGGTACTATAGAGTAACCACGTTACCCATATCATCAGTTACATAGTTTTTCAAATGATTAATTACCAATCAGATAAAGATTGAAAAGAGAAAAAATATGAAAAATCCTGAATATATCAATCAATATTACTTTCGTGTATTTATGTCACTTGTGAATTTTTTCTCTCCTCTATCTTTAAATTAATTGTGATAGTTATTATAATTAATAATTATTTGATACACATAAAACCTCAACAAAAATTCATAAGTGATGTAAATGCAATGGTTAATAGCTACCTCTAGATAATCAAGTGGTTCGATAAAAACTATTAGTCTTCGATGTATTACTCATGAGGTTCTGAATTTGATTCTTTCTTCGATTATTAATAAGAATAATCACTGAAACTCTTTACCTGGCCGATAGTTATAAGGTCTCGGGAAATTAGATGAATTACGTGTAAATTGGTTTGAATACTTTGGATCACAAAAAAATAAAAAAATAAAAAAAAACTACATTGTTAATGATACAAATGACTTTGTATCCAGTGGCATTCTAATTTTTTTCATTCCATGTCATCGAAAGTATAATTAGTATATTGCGTCTGCGCAGGGTTTAAGTTGGCCGGTTTTCTAACGAAAATATTTATTTTTAGTTTTCTTGCACCGTTGTACGGACTATAATAAGAAGGATGAACTTGTTATACTAAATATATAAACCAAGCACCACCTCTAACATCGAAATTAAAGACAATCTGTTAACAAATCTCTCTTGGAAATTAAAGATTTATATTTCCTCATTCCTGTGATTGCAGAAGATCAGCACAGAATCAATTAATGGGGTCAAAGGACACATCGTTTGGGACCTCATGGGCTGATCAATGGGACTCCAAAGAAAATCCAACTGCAAACGACCCTTCAGCCTCTGACACGGCCAAGAAAGGCGGCGATGGCGGCGGCGGCGGCGGAAAGTCTAAATATTCAAAGAAGGTCGAAGAAGGTCTTGGAAAAACTAAAGCGGCTGCCGTTACTGGCATGAAGAAAGCTAAGCTAGGAGCCTCTTTGAGTTTTGGTTGGATCAAGCAGAAGTGTAGCAAGAATTAATTAATTCATTCATAAACAAAGCTAAGAGTTTGTTATTTTATGCAACTTCCGCGATCATCATTCTTTCTTCTTTTATTTATTTACCAACTCTATTTCTTTTGATCATCTTTATAGCTGGATATGCATTTTCTTTGAATTCTGAGTACATAATTTTATTATCTTCATCATCATTTTAATCTAAGGATGTTGCCGGCTGATTTATTAATCTTATGACAAGTTTTTTTTCCATTATTGTTGTTTTATTTCAGATTCCGTGACATTTTCTAGATATATAATCTTAAAAACAACTCCAAAAGAAAATTCAAATGTGTGCAATCTTAATCCTGCAGGTTTTGGAATTCTATACTAGAACTTAGAACTCTTACTTCTATTATGACAAGAACAGAATGTTAAGTTTGATAAATCCCAGGAGTTAGGCAAATTATTAAGTGTGATTTTTGTTTTTTCTTGCATGAGGAAGTAATTGGCGATGGATGACTGAAAATGGTAATATAGGTGTCATGGGTTTGAGTATGGTTGGTCAACAACCTTCTCTCTCAGAGACAATTATACGAGGAAATTCCTGTTCAACAGAACATAAGGAGGATGCATGGGAATCAAAAATCTTAAATGCCCGAGTCCCATTTGTAAAATAATTGCCAAAAGGCAGATGCTTGTGCTTGTTTAGAGTGGCGATCCAATATATTTTTATATTTTTGGGTACTAATTAAAGAGATACACTACATTACATAGTGCATCAAACAAAAAATGGCATAAAGGAAACTAATTGTCACATATAATCCACACAGGCCTGAACGCCCTAAACTGGCCCAGACATCTCTAGAACTGATACGAGGAATAACTCGAACGATCTTAATTTTAGGCACTGATAATTTAGCGATCACAGAAAAATCCGCTGAAGTTTATGTTGTAAACGTTGAGCTGTGCTATTTGATTGTTCTTCTTTGGCTCTGGTTCTGAAATGTCGCTGGCTTAGAAGACGTGGTTGGCGCTTTGTATTTTATCGTTTAAACAATTTTACGAACTCTGACCCACAGAAAGCATTAGAAAAAAGCCAATCAAGCCTTCTTTAGTGAGCCTCTGCCTAGCAACGGAACAAGATCATAAAGCAATACCACCTCACTAAAACTTTACGAGAAAAATTGTTTCGTTTCTGCCAAAGCTAATTTCCCAACAAAATTTCCAACCTATGAATATAAATCTGAAACATTTCCAACCAAAAACCGTCATCCCATCAAATAATCAATAGCAATCTGGCAGTGATCAGAACAAGTTTTTAATATTATATCGCAAGATGGCGAGTTTGTGGTTGTGGTGTCAAATTTAGGCAGCACTTCAAGTTCCAGGTCTTATAGTTTATATCCCTGTGAAAAGGTTCAACATCTATTAATTCCATTTCAGCGCTTCAATTTATTCAAATATCAGCGATGCATGTGTTATGATTTCACCCATTAGTTAAGTTGTGTTGAACGAAGATTCAAAGACCATTATAATTCCTGACTCTTGGATACTCATCACGGTCCAAAGAAGATGAAGAGCAAATTCAGGGTTAGGAAATTAAAAAAAAAAAGGGAAGAGAATACATATGGAAATAATCTGAAAAGAATGTTGGCAGTAGGCCTGCATGAATATTTGCGGGTTGTATGCATTGCCCACATAAAAAGAAGAATTTTGCATCAGTGGGTTTATATGTGAGAAGAGTTGTCGTCCTAAAATAAGTAATAAAAACTTGTTACTTAATCCTAGGCAAGATCCTCTCTCTATTAGTGGATGAGCGTCAATTCTAAACAAACTAATGTGGTCAAGAATGACAAAATTAGTATTCATTTATTATTGACTGGGTCAGTTTCTTCAATTCCTAGTTTTTTCATCAGATTGCCCATTAATCAATCCTTCAACACTTAATTGTAACTCTAGCATATTAGGAAATTAGACCTGCTAGAGTTTCTGCTGCAATAACAATGGATTCAATCAGTGTTCCAGAAGTCACTCTAAAGCCTAGCGATCGGAAAATGCCGATGTTGGGGTTGGGCACATCAGCCTCCCCGTTTTCAGGATCAGAAAGTACTAAACTCGCGATTCTTCAAGCCATAGAACTTGGTTATAGACACTTTGATACGGCTTCTCTGTATCAAACAGAGCAGCCACTTGGTGATGCAACAGCCGAAGCGCTATCTCTTGGCATAATTAAGTCTCGAGATGAACTCTTTATCTCATCCAAGCTATGGTGTAGCGACGCTCATCATGAACTTGTTGTTCCTGCGCTTCAAAAGAGTTTACAGTAAATCATTTCTCTCTAATTTTGCATGAAATTTGGTTTATCTCTCAATGTCAACATGTAGATCTCTTATCCTTTTTTTGTTGTGATTGTGCAGTAATCTTCAGTTGGAGTACCTTGATCTCTATGTAATACATTGGCCTGTGAGTTCAAAACCAGGAAGCAATGAGTTCCCCATAAAGAAGGAAGATTTTCTCCCCATGGATTTCAAGTCTGTATGGGAAGCCATGGAAGAATGTCAAACTCTTGGCCTTACAAAGTCCATTGGAGTCAGCAATTTCTCGTGTAAAAAGCTCAGTGAAATCCTTGCTACAGCAAAGATCCCTCCGGCTGTCAATCAAGTGAGTTTTCAAACCTATCTTGGTCATTTTCTGGTGAAACCTTGTGATTTTAATTAATTACAGTGAGGTTTATTGCTATTTGAAAAGGTGGAGATGAGCCCACTTTGGCAACAAAACAAGTTGAGAGAATTCTGCAATGAGAATGGAATTCTTGTTACAGCTTATGCACCTCTAGGAGCCAGAGGAACAATTTGGAGTAGCAACAGAGTTATGGAATGTGAAGTGCTGAAAGGAATAGCAGAGGCCAAAGGGAAGACAGTTGCTCAGGTACTTCTAATTTGACATGGCATCTCAAATAGGAAAAGATGTTTTTGTTGCATAATATAGACTTACTCTCACTTACATCTTAAAAAGCCACAAATATTCCGTAGTTCTAAGACTTTTAATGATTTAAATTAATTTGGAATAAACAAATGTGTGAGCATCAACAACTATTTACACCACTGGAAATTACCAACGTTCCATTGATTTTGGGTTGACAACAGGTATGTTTAAGGTGGGAATTTGAACAAGGTGTGACTGTGGTAGTAAAAAGTTTCAACAAAGAGAGGATGAAAGAGAACCTTGAGATATTCAACTGGGAATTAAGTGAAGAAGAGTCCAAGAAAATCAGTGAAATCCCACAAAGCAGAGGATGCGTTGGCGAAGATTACATATCTCGAAATGGACCAATCAAGACCATTGAGGAGCTGTGGGATGGTGAAATTTGATTTCAGTTATTAATCATAGCTAGAAGTACATTCTTTGTAATGATATACTGTAATTTTTATCAAATATGAAGAGATGTGGAATGCAGAAATTTGGTTCTAGTGATAACAAGATTTATTGTAGTAGCATTTTATCATTTTAATATTGGAGGCTTCAATAGTTTCTAGCAACTCAATTTTAAACTGATTATATAAAATACAGGAAAACAGGATCTTACAGAAAATAACACATAAAGAGAAAATGTAATTTGTCAAAGAAAATTTGGTATCTCATTTCGCAGTTACTTTAATGTTGCCTGAACATTGGAAATATTCTTGCGTATATTGATGTAAATATCTGTATTGTCTTCAAAAGAGGTTTTCAAAAAGGCCATTAAACAACACTTATCACAAGCTTTTAACTCGTACTTGGTTTGGTAAAAGAGTGATGTTATACATATAAATTCTTATAGATTTATACATGTAATAACACTCTTTTATTGCTGTATAAATTATCATTTACTCATTAAACATTCAACATTATGGAATTGAAGTTCAAAATTAAACAAACGCCAAAAAGCAAACAGAAAGTGTTTTATGCCGTACAAGCCTTCGTTACACTAAAAGGTGTGATGATGCAAAATTCTTTGCTCCTAGAAAACACTACTTCATTCAGCTTCCAGGATCACACTAAAAAATCCATACCATAGTTTGTATGCTTCCTTCACGTCACACTTCTTGCAGATTGATCGTATTATCATTTTACCTTATTATAATCTAATTTAATTTCCACTTTCTGAATTATTTATCACTTGAAAAAACACTTGCATCCACACAGTACCAAGAGGTCCAACAATGGTAGGAATTGATTATGTATTGCAGGAGGGAGAGAAATCTTTCCTTGCCTATCTACATATTCAAGCACAACCGTAATAATTCTGAAACAACTAAACAAGTATCAACAAATTATAGAGGAAACGAAAACGAAATATCTAAATCCGTAAATAAAAGGTATTCAGTCATTCTATTTGAATTAAACATATATACAGACGACAACCCTGGAAGAAAGTAGGTAAGTATACGGTGCTCATATACATGTTCTCTTATTGTTCTTACCCAAATAGCTCTGGGCTTAATAAATGACATAAGACACGCTAGAGCTGCAGTATCAGAGCATCCTCCCAAAACAGCGATAACACAAATAAGCAAATTGTATTTGAATTTAACATTGTGCGGGCCTGTCATAACTAGGAGGTAAAGATGGACAATTCTCATTCATGTTTGCATATGGCTCTATTGTGTTATACTGAGGCAATTCCATCCTATACTCGCCAAGAATCTGACAGAATGGGAGCTTACCATCCTTGTTGTTACACCATTTTGGTAGGTGCGTTTGATTATTCTCAAAAATCTTAAGTGTATATGCATCACGAATCTGTTAACAGGAAAAATTTCAGAATACACCACAATGAAATAGATCACAAACATAAAATAAGAAAGAAAAATTAACCATTTAAAACTTACAGTGAATTCAGTCACTTGAATAGAGTTAGAAATAGAACCAAAGATACCAGCTTCTTTATACATTTCAAGGATAAAGGCAACACATGTAGTTGATTTTCCGTCACTATATACCCATTCATCTTGCTCTGGGATGGTAAGTAATTGATCAAAGGACATGCCACGCTTTTCAATCTCATCTAAAATTCCATAAAGATCCAAACCCTGATAAAAACCAGTGACAGAGTGACACAAATTAACTATGAAGTACATGTGAATTGATCAGTAAACAGAGAAGTATTAATCTAGAAATAACAAAAAGTACCTCAGTTCCAAGCCGCTTATTTAATGCTTCATTCCACATGTTTGCAGCATAAGCTGGCTGCACCCGAGTCCACATAGACATGACAGAAATAACCTGGCAATTGGAATTAAGAATTATGAACCTTGGTTACAAAGTCTCCAACATCAAATTTTATCTAAAAAGTTAAATGATTGCGTAATGGGCATGTAGACTATTATATTTTTTTTTCCAATAAATAATAGCAATAACCATTAAAGCATGACCACCAACTTTCACCGATGATATGATATTGGATTTAAGAGGAAAAGTCTTAATATAACCATGATTTACATACACTGAGAACCATACAAACCAAATTCTAAGTTTACACAATTTGCGCATTGCACCCACACCTTTTGTGTCCAAACATGCATGGATCCATGTAATGCCAAGCACTCAGACTTGTACAGGGGAAACTTAATGCCATAATGTTACCTAAAATAAAACCAAAAATATTGCCACCACCATTAACATACCCTCCAAAAAGTTTCTAACATCTGACTACAATAGGGAATGAAATACTTATCAAGTGGTATGACAATAATTTAATTGCTTGTATTTCATGTAGAAAGCAAATTCATTGACACACATCCGTCTTATTAATCTATATCACAAAAAATGATGAGGAGATGCATACCAAGTGAGCATCAAGAGGTGGCGGATAGTTGTCAGCTATGGTGTCAATCCAACTAAATATCATGTTATGATAACCATATGGCTTTCCTGACATGCTCCGGGTGTATTCCCATGCTGCAGTAGCGTTGAATTTTGCACGCATGTCTGGATGTAACGGAAGTAAAGCTATTTGTGGATTAGAATCATCCTTTAGTGCCAACTGCCACCATTCATCCCATGGAATTACTACTATAATTTCTTCTCCCTGTAAATTCATAAAAGTTATGGTGTAAGGACAAAATGACCATCAAGCTTTGTAAAACATACAATCAGTTATTATCCACAACAATGCTTTAAAAAAGAGGACCAACAAGACACTGTTATTATCCACATGAATACTTTAAAAAAGAGGAGCAACTAGACATTGTTATGCAATGATATATTTGTGATCTGCAAAGTATATCCTGTTCATCAAATACCTTTTCATTCTCATGTCCTGATTCACCAACCCAAAGATTACCCTCTTCATCCTTTAAACAAACTGCTGTATGACCAGCAAATGCTCCAGTCACCCATTTTTCCAGTGACTCAAATCCACCCCACCTACCACGGATCTTTGATACTGCCAAGAAATCACCAGAGTGGACATCTTCTGGATTTATGGTTGCACACCAAGGCTGAGGACGCTTTTCAAATGATGCACCCATGTGCTTCTCTAGAAAAGCTATATTAGCATTCTGACCCCAACCAGTATTAGAAAATAGGGGTAAGACATCAATTAAAGAAAGCAAGGTCCCCATCATTCCTGAAGGCATGAGAAATACGGAGACTCCATGCTGCTTTACCTGCTCAGTGGATGGTGAGAAATAAACTTCCATAAAATAATTTTTTTAGGAAAACGTTAAGACAACAAAATAAAAGCGTACATATTCCAACTCTGCGGGTTCCTCCCAAGACTCAAAATTCAATGTATGCTCCCGAGCAGAGAAGTAGTAGTCCCAAGTTACCCTGTAGGGCGTTGCAAAAACATATAGATCCATACATGTCCAGCTATGCGCATCAGATGTCTGCCAGTAGAAAAGAAAAAATTCTCCTAAGATACAGAAGGCAACTTTAAAAAAGAAGATCATAATAGGTCAAGACAATAAAACATTTTCGATTATAAGAACCTATATTTATTTGCTTACTCAATTTCTACTTTGTATCTTTCTAAGAGAATTTGATTATAAGGACAGAAATTTGACATTTCAACTGATCAATATCTACATGCTCCTTAAAATGTATTGCACTACCATAAATTGCGGTCTAGAAGTTTGATTGCTATTGAAGAAACATTAAAGATACTTCACACTCATAAAAACTAAAACCGCCACAAATAGAAAACCTCTCAGTTAAGCTGAGTTTTCCATATTCGTCAAAGAGAAACAACTTCAAAATATTGTCTTCAGGTTGAAGTTACTTTCTTTTCTAACTCATCATTCCTTCAGCAATCCCCAAACAAAGTAAAAGAGCAAAAAGTCATATAAACAAATACTGAAACCAAGCATACAATACCAACTCCAATTAATTCAATAATCAACCAAACACAACATTCTCCCTCCGCAAAAACTAATAATCAAAATTACAATAAAAACCACAGTTACCGTAACATGAAGGACGCCGCCGCCCAGGCCCGGGTCACGATCACCTTCGGTGAACTCAAGCCGGGCTTGGTTACCGTAAAAGCAAGCTCCTTTCCATTCAATTGAACCGTTATTAGGGGTAACCGATCCAACATAATACGGCAATAAATCAACCGCACTGTGAAAATTATTCAACACCGGCCAAGATATCTGACGTGGCAGCACCGGAAGCACATCCTTCACTCTAAACGGGACCTTCAAACCTTCACAGAAACCTAATCCAAAGAAACATAATAGCAATACCAATAAACACCGAGACATTGCTAGGGTTTTTTTTTCCCTCTTTTTTGGTTGGACTGTGCCGATAGGAACCCTAAGATTGAAGAACTTAATTAGTTAAATTGTACAGTACGATCCATGTAGATTGAGGTTGGCTTCGGAAAGAGAGAGAGATTAATATCGTTCTATTTGGAATTGGATTATTTAGACATGGTGAGGTTTAGAGTTTTGTTCGTTATCGTAACGACGACGTTCTGTACATTGAAGAAGACTGACGCTTACGTGGCGAGCCAATTGGTTTACGCGTGTCAGTTGGTTTTTCTCCATGTTAGGGTTGATTTTTCTGGTACACGATAAACCAAATTTGAACTTTAGTTGGAGAAGACTTACGGCCGATGCACGTCCTCTTTTTTTTTTTTTTTTTTTTTTTAAATTCTAAAATGGTTTTATTCCACTTGATGTCTCTTGATCAATTTAATTAATGATTAAAAATTAATCAATTCTTCCCAGAGATTACTTGATTTTTGTTTCTTAATTTGACCAAATACACAAAACCATCGTCAGAACAGTCATACTATCAATAATTCTCAGTGAAAGGGTTGGTTAATTTGTCGCATTGAGTGATCAAACCTTCGTTAGTCCAATGAATTTGGAACTTGGGCTCATCCAAAAATCATGAATAGTTGGAGATTAATTTATCTATGCCAACCATAAAAATTTATAGCTTACAGCAATAATAATCTTAATAATTACTTAATTAGTTTATCCATGTTTAATATGAATCATGTATATCAACATGACAACATCATTGTGAGTTGCCAAATTAATTAGTATACAACAAATTGAGGGGATTTACCCAATAGCTTCGGAGGATTAGTTAAAGTACATATAAACTAACTTAAACACCTTAGGTAAAAAAAAAAAAAAAAAAAAATTGAATTATCAGCCTACGTTTACAAGTTTTCATTTTCTATATTCAGATTTAAAACTACAATTATTAGTTACAGTTAACAGTTACAGACATCAACAATCAGATGTGGAAATAGTTTATAGATCAAAAAAACATGGTGATACCGCTTCAAACCTTCATGAACACCTAAAATTAAATTGCCATACTACTCCATCAATAAACATGTAGCCTTGGACTTGAAAACTCAATTGAAATCATTACCTGCTCATAACATTAAAGGGTTTCAAATGATGTTTGAAAAATGCAAAAATTTCAAAACATGTCTCTAAGCAAATTCCTTCACATCCCAAATAAGAAGCAATTTGAGTAGCAAGGAAGAAATAGAGCACTGTCTTCCACCACCATCGGCTGCCTAAATGGATTTAATTGAATCTACAAGGCAAGGGCTTCAATTAAGAATATGATCAAAGTGAGGAGTTTTAGCTCATTAATAAACACAAACTCACAGGAAGTTTAGGAGGATGGCCAGTTATTGTGCTTATGCAAGAAGCTGCAAGATGACAAGCTTCTTCACAATAATCAGAAAACACTGCAGGAACATTTATCTCCCTTATTAGCTCCTGAAGTTTGCACATCCAAGCAATTAAAAGAAGTGAGCAACAAGGTTAAAACTTTAACAGTTTACAAGGTAGCCCTGCTTATACACACGCATAATCAAAATATGTGAACGAGATGCTAAGGGCATTAAAGACATACAATAGTCGACAGCCAACTTGAATAAGCAGCAATGCCAGCATTTGGAGCAATGATTAAATGAGGAACAGAATCCTGTCCATCAAACAGAAGTCATTTTAAACTACAAGAAATAGAACTGAACAGCTAAAACATATCCAAGATGAGAAGCTTCAAATGGAAAAATAAGTATATATCTGTGCAGTGTGCACACAGAAAGAAACACCTTTGCTATATCTCCATAACGATCATGATAAAATCCTTTGTGAAGCCGCAACGTTACTGCTGAAGATTTAATCATGCCTGTGCTCGAACTGAAGTTCTCACTTGAAGATTTGCAAATGCAATCAGTATCAGCGCAATGAGCATAACTGCAAAGGTTGATCATCTCACCATTCCTAACCATCAAGAAGAACGAAAAGAAGAGTAAATATCCGGAAGGAGCCAAACAAAACCCTATTCAACCTAAATCTCATGAAAATAACAAAAGTAATCCTTGTACAAAACTTGATCTATTTAAAGTTTAATTTTTAATTGTATGTTTAGGCTGCTAAGCAGTCATTGGAAGATAAACAATTAACAACATCCATTTTGAAATTTACAACTAACCTATGTTGCGGAATTTCTGGCCCAATAAGCTCTATATCCACCTTTACACCAGGGAAAAGTGCAAGCAACTCACCAAAGACAGAAAGTTGTAGAAGCTCTTTCTCAGGCCCTAAGGAAATTTGAATTATGAATCAAAACTTGATTAAAAGAAGCCAAAAGATACTGCTACAGCCGAATACTAACATGATCTTGGCATAAATTGCCAAAGTGCAACAGTCAAGGTAAGTACACCCCCTGATGGAAAGTAATGCAACATTAACAATCTCTACCCTGTTGGACATTATTAAATCATCTTCAGAATTATCAGTTCCAAGGCTAACAGATACAATTTTTGAACCCAGTCTAACTTGTCAGTATGATACAATGTTTGCCTATATACCAGGAAAGATGGAAGATATTACCCCAACTGCCTTAGAAACGGAGACAGGTAGGGTAGCAGGTGAAAAAATACAACAATTTAGAAATTGAGTGCTTAGAGAGTGAGAAGTTAGAGGAGACAACATACCAAGGTAGTGGATGCACAGTTTATCACTGATCTTGGAATTAAAGCTTCTCAAACCAGCAACTTGAGTGGCATAATATATTGTAAGCGGCTGTAAAGAAAAAACAAAACGAAATAATCAGAGAACAACATGCATATCTTTGTACTGGAAATAAGTGACAAACACCAGTTGAGAATGAAAGTGGTTAGCTAAACAAACACAAGCCTCAACTCATTGTTTAAACACACTGTATATATCATACCCAGTGAAGAAGCAAAGCAACAGGTGAATGTAGTGGAATGCTCCTCCAGTCAAAGTAATTCTTCCAACTACATAAATGCTTTGATATTTGAAATGAAGGCTCTGTGTGGTTACACAACAAACTCACAAACCTAGATATTTAGGTGGAAAAAAAAAAAAAACAAATGATGATACCTGAACATGGGCACAGTATACTAGGTAGATTCCAACCTTCATCTGTTGACCTGCCAGTACCGTAAAATATGTAAACAAAATTGAAAAAGAAAAAAAATATATCATGATTTATAAAATATTTCAATCCAATGATGACCCGATATCTAAAATAAGTCATTTGTTCCTCCAAGAGCAAGATGAGGTTTTACTTTGAAATGATCAAGAATCCTATTTACATTTTAAGATCAGGAAACCTTTGAGCACCTATAAAAGATGTTAGTGAATTACATCACCTTTTGTCTCTTTACTAAGTATATAAATCTCTCGTAAGTGATTATCCAAATTGTATAAATTTAACCTCAATAATTCCTTTTCACAACACAAATTACTACCTCTTTCGGTTATGTGATGTGCAAAATCAGCTTACTTATAGTTGCTTATAACTACTGTCTGTATAGCCAAAGATAACATCTGACTGACTACTAAGGAACGAAACACAAAACAGAAGATTAAAAAATACCTTGCACAATCAAATGAAGCAACGGATAAACCGCAGCAACATTCATACATCCACATTCCTACTCGATGAACGCCCCTTTTGCTCAGGAATGAACACCTGCTCTCCTGCTTTTCACACACCTAGCAATATTACACCAAAAGAAGCAAAAAAAAACTCAATTAAAAGTGCAAAACAAATACACTCTTTCAAAGATACTTGCAATACCCCTCCCAGAAAATAACCAATCACCTGAACTGTAGATTCTTCACTAAACGTGAAAGGAAAATCATTCAAGACATCTACATGCTTCATTTGTTCTTCTAACCTTTCACACTCGTCTTTATGATCACTCCAATGTAAAAGCTGCAAATAAATATCTTAGGTGATGATTTTGAAATTAAATACTAAACGAGAAAATGTTAAATTTTATGTATAATTTCCGTTTAAAGTAGCTTAAGGGTTTCAAGCGGAAACTCTTAAATTAAATTGGTGAACAAACAATTAATGGTTGAATGTTTAAAAATAAGGGGCACCTGGTGAGAGGCGGAACAATAAGCAACAGCTCCACAGCGACCGCAGCGTCTTCTGGCTGGGCCTATGCAACGATTTCCGCGCCCCTTGCCAGCACACTCCATTGTTTTTGCAGTCTTCAGTTTTCAATTTTCTTTTAATCCCAAAAATATAGAGGGGTGTTATTTCTAAACCTCAATTTATAATAAATATGTATATTTCAAAAATTAATCTATTTTAATTTTATTGGTAATTAACTTCTTCTTCTTCTTCTTCTTCTTCCTTGTTTTTCTCCTCCTTTCAACTTTATCTAGAAACAATAGAAGGAGAAACTCAAAACTTTATTAAGTTTTTATAATGAAGTATTGATAGACGATGAAAAATCAGAGCATATTTTTAGTTTACCAGACTAAGAGTCCAAAGTGCATCTTGAATCTTTTATTTTTCTTAAAGTTAATGCGTCATCTAATAATCTATATTGTTCTACTTTGAGATGATGATCCACATTTCGTTCTTTTTAATTAATAATTTTTGTTTTCTTATATTTTAATGGGTCATATAGAAGTTTTGGTCCAGCTTAATGAGCCCAAATCGTTAGGTTGGGATGGGCGCAGACAATATTCAGTCTTGGACCCAACCCATAATGAATCCCTTTATTTAAATCAAATTTATTTGAAAAAAAAAAAAATGGGTAAGACTTTATTTTTTATATTCTTATATGAATAATTATTATAAATTTTACATGTAAAGCTTAACATCACATGCCAAAATATAATATCCAAATAAAACTCAAGAATAAAAATGAAAAAAAAAAAAAAATCTAAATCCAACCCAATTTATTGATGAGGCAGTAAGCCTGTGTTTGAGAATTACAAGCAAATCACTCAAATGTATGGTCAATTTTTTGTAAATTAGGTTTTCTCTGTAATGTTTTCATATATCCTATAAGGGTAGAATAATTAATAAAAAAAAAATGTTAAAATTAGGCCAAACTCAATCCAATTTGTATATTAAAAAAAATGGAATAACATATTTTAAATATTTTTAAGTTAAATGGGTAATCCACAACTCCATATCCGTATCTGTGCATGTGCAGTGCAAAGAGGCACAATCGTTTGAAGTAATGATATGTGTCATGCCTAACACAGCATCAGCACGTATATCTTGACGGTCCAATAATGTGCTGTTGGGTCAAGACGTTACCCCCTTCATCTTGCTATTAAAATTAAATTAATCGGGGATTATTAATTAGTATCCATTTTGTTTCTCATTCTGCTAACTGCTCATGCATCACTAAATTAATCAGGTTTAATTTATAGTATACTTCAGATTAAACCTGGCTTAAATATAATGAAGGAGAGCTATTTTGATGAAAGAGATTAGTAACCGGCCACTGCCGTTGTCCCCACGGAAGCGAACAAAGAAGTATGCATTTGGTCCAGGCTTGAAGTGTAAGGTTTATGGAAGGTGACTGGACAGTCGACAACTAAACAAAGCCATCCCTTTTAGTGTTTCCCTTGAGAAGATGGTAGAAGCATACCATTATTTATCATAAAGTAATTGGGCTTAGATTGTCTGTTCAAGAATCTAACTTTAGCTTTTCGTATCCTTTGTTGTTCAGTCCGACCTAACGTTTCGCCCAAGCTGTTACTTCTTAGAAACATTATTAACATGTGCAAATGCTTAGATATATTGGACCATGTCCATGTTCTGTATACGGCTACCTCAGCAGCATTAGTCGTTAGATGTCCTTAAAGTGAATGATTTGTAATTTTTGTCCCTTTATTGTCAAAATCTGGAAAGTTTATTCTCTAATTAATAATATCCCTAAAAATTATAATACTTGTTATATCGCCTAATATCTCAATTTTTTTTTTTTTTTTTTCTTATCATCATCATCATCATCATCGAAGGTTTTCAAATTAGTTAGCACACACTTCAATTAATCATTTGAGACCATAGGAACTGTCGGTCAAGTAAGAGTCCTAATGACCACCCCTATTAGTTTCAAGAGGAACTCAAACTCAGGAGCTCATGAAACATTCTTTTATACTTTTACCATCAGGTCACCCAGTGGTGGTTCAATTATGATTCTTCATTGGTGAACACGTAAATTTTCATCACCATCTAAAAGAAAAATTTGATGAATATTATATTAAATTGAATTATGTATTAAAAAGATTATACATATAATATATTTATGTTTTTTTTTTTTTTTTTTTTTGCGACCGGGTTTATTTGGGTCAGCTTGCACACATCTCAACTAATCTTTCATCTGAAGTTGATAGTCGTCTAGTCGAGCATATCATTTAGTGACCACCCCTATTAGCAACCCAGGTAGATCGAACTCAGAATCTATTGAATGATACACCCAAAAGTCATAATTAATAGTTGGACCACCCATTGGTAGTTAATAGATAGTTAATATATGTTTTCCTTGGAAGGAAACCCAATTTGATTATAACAAAAGTCGAAATTTGGATAGTTAATACTATATGTTTATCTGTAATTTAGTCAATAATATATATATATATATATATATACACTATTCTTTTTGTTTTTCCAAAACTTTTGGGATGCTAAGGGGAGGATGGCCCCCAACCCTAACTGGCTCTGCCTCAACGGATTGAGCCACATTTTATTACATTTCCTAACATTTATTCTGGTAATATTATAGTATATTCTAATTTGTTAAGATAACAGTGCTCCAAAATACGGAAGATGTTGTATTACCTGTTTGGTAAAGAGAAGAAAAAGATGCCCCAAATCTCTGAAATTTTAAAAAGAAGATGCCATATCTTGAAAAAATGAATTTAAAATCCCACACTGTCATTGCTTTCTTTCACCAGGTAAAGTTATCGAAAAGATAATTAAACTTAAATTATTTTAGTACATTTGAAGTTTCTGATTCTCTTCAAACCTTCAAATGTAAAATCGGATCTAATCCATTCAATTAGTTCAGTTGGTCGGCCATGAGAAACACAGCTCATTGGACCTACTGAATCCGACCCGATTGATTGTACGGTTACATCCATATATGACCCTCCACTGTTTTCGATAATCATGAAAAGTAAACCAGGAAAAATTGATTGGTGGGGTCATGATGGGCCAATTTGAGATTCGGTTTGACTAAAGGGAATTTATGCTTTATTTTAATTAACACAAGCTTTACCTTTTCTTGTCAAAAATATTGGGAGTCAACCAATTTTTTATACTTGTTTCAATTTCCAGTTAGTTGTTGGAAATAAAAGACTAAATCAATGTGTAAAATAAAATACTCCAAAATAAAATTAAGAAAATGTATATAAAACATGTATATTGTAGTTCATGATGCATGAATCTGATTGCAATGAGAATGTGAAGGTCAAGTCTGCATATTTTCTATAAGGTTGCAATGGCATCAGCTTCCACATCAATATATATATATATATATATATCTTGTAAGACTTAAAGAATGTCTCTTCAATTAAATGAAATTCTCCTTCTAAACAAGTTGGAATGTTGGCAAAAAAATCTGTCAACTGTGTGGGTTCTAAAAGAAGATAATTTTTATTCTAAAATAATTATTTATTTTATACATTAAACTATATGCCTATTGGTTCTCAAAATTTTCATCCTATCTCCAACTATACTCTTATTATAGGGATGAGCATGGGTAAAGGGTATAAGTATAACCGAAACCAGAACTGGGAATTTTCGGGTTCGTTTTCAATTCCTATAGTTTTGGAACCGAGAACTGGAACCGAGGTCTGGGTACTCGGATAGAAACCAAGACTAAATTATAATTTTTGTAAACTATTAGGGGTGTGTTGCAAGTTTTTTGGGGTGTATTTATCATTTTTCAAAAGATAGAGGGGTAATAAATTCACCCAGGTACCTAGAACCTATGTTTTAGGTTCCAGTTCTAGTTCCAAATCTTAGGAATTGGTCGATTTTGATTCCAATTTCGATTCCTTCAAAAAATACAGGTACCCGGAATAAATCACCCATACTCTTATACTCGTAATTATACATGTGCTGAAATTGATGGGAAAGATTTGGTAGATTAGGAAGAGAACACAGAAGGCATATCCTCTATTTTAAACATCCATCATCTTCTAACTAAAGGGCCAGGCAGATTGAGAAATCTTTTCAACATTAAATGTAAATATATATATATTTCTTTTGGTAATCAGGGTGTTCAGATTAGCTTATGCGTATTTCAACTAATCTTCGAAGTCTATTAAACATCATACAAACCAAAAGATTAGGTAAACTATAATATTATTGTGATAGATGATCCTAAAGTTTAACCCCAGATGTTAGAATCACGATTTTATGCTTAAAGCTCGTTTAAAATGACCTATGGGTTGAATATGAAAAAAAAAAAACCATAATTTTAGTGAGGCATTACCACGTGCTATTATATTATAGTCACAATAATGCAATTTACAAAAGATAGAAGGAGAAAAATAGACAAAAAGAAGATAGTGTTGGTGTAGATTTACCTAGGATTAACTACTGTTGCTCATCGTTTTTGCCTTCATAACGTGGTTCGAATTAGATCACAAACAAATATACAGTTATGCGTGAAATTAGGTTTACCTCCGACTCTGAGATAAAATCCAGTATCGCGATATGATATAATGAATGTAGATCTCCAAGATTTGATATGAAAATTTTAGAAAGTGAAGCAAAAGTCCAAGCATAAAAAAGAGTGTAATGGTCCCACGCAAGATTTCTTTGGGACTCCCAAATCTCATTTTTGGCATTTGCTCACCTAAAATTCATCAATTAATTTCAAAAGTTGAGCTCATATTGTTTCTGTATCTTGTAAATTACACGTCATCCTTATTGTACCAAGAACACTGTTTTAATAATAATTTAAATTAAAAATTGTTATATTTTCGTGATTCAACGCTTTGTAAATACATCAAAATAGTTTAAAATTTCATTCATTAAATTAGAAATACATAGATAGTCGTGGTTATGACTTATGCCTTTTACATTTCCACTCAAAATCTTTTTGAACTTTTGTAATTACAAACATCATTGATGGAGATTGGACACCAAGATTTTATCATTTGTTGAATAAATAATGAGTTAGGTTACAAAATAAATAAATTTTTAGTATCAATCAAATATTTTATAAAAGTAATAAATAAATAAACACTTCATATTAATCATAAGAAAACAAGGATTTAAATAACATAACATAAAACTTATGATTCCCATTGTCAATAATAATAAAATGAAATCAAACGGTTAAAAAAAAAAAAAAAAAGAATTGATTCTATATTTGTGTTAGGTTGTCTTAACATATACCCTTGAGTTCACTAGAAGATAAAAAAAACTATGTGTATCAACACATTAAAATATGCATTGAAAAAATATTTTTTTTGTCTTCTAGTGAGTTGAATGTATACCTTAAGACACATGTTAAAACAAACTGATAATATTTACAGAAAAATTAATGAAAAGAAATTAACTCGCCAGGGGCAAGAACTCCCACAAAGCTTTAGTGGTTGCATCTATGACAATTGTACTCTTTATAATTCAATGCATAAAGTAATCTTTGAATACAATTATATATATTGTTTAGTTCTTTGACCAAATATTTAGAGATATTTAATAACAGATATTTTTAAGTTTATGTTTTACCTAGAATAAAAAATATATTTTAGAGTGCCTCATATTGAGAAAGGTGTCTTAAATCATACTTATAGTATAATATAGATAATAAAAAATGAAAAACAAGAAGAGAAATAATTTGTATTCAAATATTGAAAACTATTTGAATATTTTGCTTCTATTAAGTCTGATATTCAATAATTCAAATGGTGAAATAGTGTAAAACTTATGTTGAAGATACAAAGAGCTAACATATTTAATATTTATGGCTTCTTATTAGAGCTTTCATTACATTAAAACGATATTATAACCTATAAAATCTCCATTAACCATATTAACATATTATTTATTAAACCATCTCAAATTCTGTATCTTTCTCCTTATAATATCCAAGTTTAAAATTTAAATTCACTGTTAACACAATCTAGAATTTATACGATTGAGATTCATAGATATAGAGAGAAACAAAGATGAATCATAAAAGATGTATAGAATCACTATAAAATATAAAAAAACAAATGATCCAATCATATCACGAGGCAGCACGTGTATAACTCTGTTTACTCACAACACTGATAGAGAAGAGCAATCTTTTTTTTTTCTCCCGCCAGTTTAGAGACGCGTGTCGATTATGTATGTGATGACATGCGATCTTCCTCGATCCCGACCAGTTACTATACCTATTATTTTGCCAGTAATACTAAACTTTATATGAAATGAGATAATTAAATTTATTTTTTTATTTATTATTTATTTTTTATCACATCACTTTATATGAAAATTTTTATAATTTACATAAATAACTTTGTAAAGTTAGTTTGTAAGTGCAATATTACTCCTACTATCCCGAAATTTGACCGAAACATTGTTATAATATATATATATATTTTTTTATAATATCACGATACGAGAGGTGGGAATGAGAAATTGATGTTTTGATTCGGTGATCGCACCAAAGTGGATTTAAGAATCTGAGCGTTATTACTTATTAGAGCCTTGAATTAAAAAAAGCAGATTTCAAAGATTTCTTAGAGAGAGAAAGATTTGATTTGAAAGAGAAAAACGAAAGAGACAGATAAGACGTATTACATTACAGCATATAACAGAAGAGGCCACAGCGGCAGAGTAACCCTATTGTTGCCTCTTCTAGTCTTCTTCAAGAAAGTCTTAAATTGTGTTTTCTTGAGATAGACAGTGAACCGGAAATGACGACAAACGGCGTAGCTTCGTGGCGGAGGATTTCTGATAGGATCGACGGTTTTGATTTATCACCGTCTGATTCTGAAGAAGTTCATGTTCTGGCCGTTGATGATAGTTTCGTTGACCGAAAAGTCATCGAGAGGTTGCTCACTGTTTCTTCTTGCAAAGGTTTGTGTTAGTTCAATTTTTTAACCAATTTCGCTTTTCCTTTTGTTTCTTTCTCTGATTTTTGGTGGAATTTACAGTCACTGCAGTTGATAGTGGACGGAGAGCTCTTCAGTTCCTTGGATTAGATGAGGAAAAGAACGCTAATAGCTTTGATGTGAGTGGATTAAGCAATAATTTAACTCCATTTTGATATTCAAATTGAATTTGAGCTGATTGATAATTGTCTACTACTCCAGGGTTTAAAAGTGGATCTGATTATCACGGATTACTGTATGCCGGGAATGACAGGATATGAATTGCTTAAGAAAATCAAGGTAAAAACTCAATTTATTTTCATTATTTTTCATAATTAATAAAAAAAATCCGTAATTCATTACTGAATTGGCTGTTACTTTTGAACAGGAATCATCAACTTTCAGGGAGATTCCAGTTGTGATTATGTCGTCGGAAAACATTTTGGCGCGCATTGACAGGTAATTTTTTAAATGAAAAAATTGGAACTGTGAGGTAATTAATATTTTTATACTCGAAAATGATTTAATTTAATGTATTGTAACAGATGTTTGGAAGAGGGTGCAGAGGATTTTATAGTGAAGCCTGTGAAATTATCAGATGTGAGACGTATAAAAGACTACATGACGAAAGACATTAAATTGGGAAATGAAGGAAGCGGTGGCAATAAGAGGAAGATTCGCGAGACTTCTGATCTTTCTTCATCTCCACCGTCAACCCTTTCATCATTACCCTCATCATTACCGTCATCACCACCTTCTTCACCGTTACAGTCAATGTCTCCGTCACCCTCACAGTCAATTTTTTCGTCGTCAGCACCCTGTTCTCCTTCATCCACCTTCGATTCTCCCACAAGACGGCTTAAAATGACGCTCTCTGATTAGATCCCTGTCATATATATTTATACTACAATTATTAATCCTGCAATCTCTGCAATTATCCGTTAGTTTTAACGGTTTTTGTTGCTTCACTGCCTACTTTCTTTCTTTCTTTTTTCTTGTGGGTCATTTTAACTATTCTGTTTGTTTGTGTGATAAACGATCACAATTTCTAATACTAAATTAACTTTTGAAAGTATGAAATTATGTAGCTTCCAAAGCAATGAATCTTGGCATTACAATTTAACCCTAATTTAATTTTGTTGAGATTATTGAATGTGACCAAAATTGAATTGCCCATCTGACTTAGCACTTCGAATTTTGAATAGGCTTCGAAATAGGAAAAGGGTAATGTGGAGTTGGAAGATGAGTTAGAAATGAAATGTGAATTGTGATGGGTTTGCTGAATGGTAAATTAGGTGGGCAAGATTTTGTTGTCTGATAGAGAGAATAATAAAGGGATGGGAATGTGAACAGTTGTGGAGATGAGCTGGGATTTAAATGTTCCCTGAAGGAGGAGCTGTGGGTGAGTGTAGTGTGTGCCTTTGTCTCGTTGCCTCCTTTTCAGTGGTACGCTTTCAAATGCCCTGCTGTCAAGGGGGGCCTAAATCTCAATCAAATCCCCTTCAAATTCTGGCCAAGGCTGCTCCTCCAAAGATTTTAATTTCATTTTCAATGAAGATTGTTTTTACTTGTGAACATTTTAAGTGTTTTTGACAGGTTGTAATTTGCTTGATTGGCAGCAGCTTGCCGGCATTCACTTTAGTTCCTTTCATATTTCATAGCTAGCTGCCCAATAGTGGGGCGGTTTGTTTGTCGTTATATGGAGATGCCTCAGATTGGCTATGCTGGCATGGCACTGGCAATATCCTCTGTTTTAGGGGAGACATTTGCCCTACAATAAGTTGCTGGAGACAAGATTTTTTTTATCTGTTTGTTTGTTTGTTTTGTGCTTTTGCCTAGTTACTGTTTATTTAGCATATGAATTAGGCATTTGATCCAATGGTAAATCAAATTAATGGAAAAAGAGAACACATTTGATTGATACTTACAAGAAATGTCACCAGTTCAATTATGTTCCCGTGAGTTGTAAATCAGTTAAGAATCAAATTCTTGGCTTATTGAACTTGATATTCAAGGGCGGAACAAAAACTTATTAATTTGGAAGTGTCATGGTATAAAATTGTCTGCATTCACATTAAATGCAAGTTCAAGTGTTCTGAAAATTTCAGAATTAAGTTTGGTTCTAAACAATGAAGAAGAACTTGAGCTCAGAACTATCTCAGCATATTTCACTCCCCAGAATCAGAAGACTGGTTCAACCTCCAAATATACAAATTCATGAGACCAATTCAGCATCCCAAATTATCTGCAACTTTGATTGTACAAGATTACATCCTAAAGTGTATATAAACACAATTATACTTAACATGTAATGTAAGTAAAAAATCATTAATACATACATATTTCTCTCTAATATAGTCTCTGTCTCTTCTTCCTTCCTCCGTCTTCAATTATGAATTTGTTTTTCTTTTTAGTTATTGATTTTTTCTTTGATCGATCTTTTGTTCAAACTTGGTATCAAAGCAGTAAGTGAAAGCTCACTTGAAAATCAATGGAAACAACCACCATTACCAATCCTTCTTCAGTAATGCCAACTTTGACGCCCACCACTAGCCCTAATATTGTTTCATTAACGGCCCTCGGAGAATGTCTTGATGGCACCAACTATTGTAAAACCCTAATACGGCAAATGCTCCTAGAAGGGGGTGAACAGGAGATTAAAAAATTTAATGCCGGATAATTAAAACCTCCAACTATCCAAATGCTATGAACAATAAAGAATAATAATGATAAGCAATAAATGAACAAGAAGTAATTAATGAGTTGAGAGAAGAGAAATATTTAGATATTTATAATGGTTCGGAACTTTGATCACGAGTCTCTTACATCCAGGCAATTTCTTTGAAGTTTCATTATAATCGAATTTCGTCAAATACAATAGTGGAGAACAAGTAAAACTTTCACAACTTAAAAGCATAAAGAATCTAAGTGAAAATTAAGAATCAACACTACAATCAAGGAACAAGAGAATCATAGACTTCATAGTGGTTCAGTTTACAAATTGTAAGCCTACATCCACTTTCAATGTTAAACTAAAATATATACACTATGAATGAAGAAGAATTCTCTTTATTTAAGCTAAGTTATATTTATATATATACCCTTTTAACCCAGTAGAAGCCACTGTTTTGTTCCTGATTTTGTAGGCTAAAATTACTCTCTATTTTGTTAAAGACCTGTATATATATATTTTTATAATTTATAAATTAATTTTACAATAATAATATGCTTACTCACGATTTTACTAACCATTTTACTATCCTGTGTAAATATAAAGCATAGTACGGGTACTATAAGCATAGTACGAGTACCATATATAATTTTAACAAAGGATAGTAAGATCGTGAGTAAGTATAGCATTACTCTTAATTTTATTAAACTTACCTTCAATTTATTTTTCTTTATAAACACTCTTTAGGCATCTCCAACTCAACGCTATTTTGGTGTAAAAACACCAAAATAGTGTGAAAAATGCCTCCAACCCAACACCAATTTTTGCACCAATTTGGTGCCCATCTACAGTGCCACGCCAAATTTGGTGTAGTACTGTTCATGCACACCAATTTGGTGTGGCACTGTTCAAACAGTAAAAAAAATATTTTTTTTGTTATTTGTATTTAAGTTAATTTGATTATTATTTATATTAATATTTATAATAATAAATTCATAATAATCATATAATTCAAAAAATGATGAAAAATTAAAAACAAAACTCTATGCAATGCAAATATTAACCTACAATAATTCAAAATAAAAATTAACACTAATTTAAAAACACTAAAATTAAAAAAAAATACAACATAAACTAAACTAACAATTTAATATTCTGGTAGATTAGTTCTTAATCCTCTAAGATCATCAAAATATTGGAAAGAATTAGAGTTATTTTGAGATCCTTGGCCTTATTGTTGAGCTCATTTTTGCATAATTCTTGATTGCTCATTTTGAAAAAACTCAAGTAGGCTTGGATTGGTTATGGAATTCAAATCCTTGAATAAAATTTTGTTATTTTCTCGATATTCTGCCAAAGCCAATCTTTTCATTTGGATTTCATAATTTTGTACCCTAGCTGAGTTGCCCCGATTGAAAATAGCAGCAAGTGAAAAAAAATTCATAATTTTTTTGTTTTGTTATCATTTTATATTAGATGTAATGTTTGTCTATATTAAATGTAATGTTTATTTGATTAAATAAATGCTTAATTTTATTAAATTAGTATAATTTTCAAAGTAATGATTATTTAATAAAAATATCATTCCCAATATTTAATTAATATATACAATAATGAGTGAAATAGTTTAATTGTTGATTATTACAATAAAAGAAAAAAGAAAGAATATTCTAAAGAATATTCTTTTTGGTGTAATATTTGGAGATTGTCTTACACTCCATTTATATGTACATAAGTTTTAATAGTTATATTTTTAGTCAAGCCATACTTTGATAAAATTGAAATTTTTTTTTTTTTTTTTAAAGTAAAAGGTTGTGTTGTCTTTAGAGAAAGAAATGTTGCAAAGAGATTATTAGGTTACTTGATAATCCCAATTTTTATAGTAATTTTGCATTAGATTTTAACAGGATTTAGAATATTTTTCATTCATTTTGTGTGGAAATGGTTACTTAATTCACTTTGTTTTCCTTTGCAGGCTTAAACGTTGAATTAGAGCGGAAACGACGATGTTGAACATGTCAATCCCAAGATGGCTTGAATTCTGAAGATCCGCCATATTCAAAGCTGATTTGCAGCATTCGGAATGAAGACTTAGTCAAAGTCTACCAAGAAGACAAGGGGGAAATCAGCCAAGAGTTCAAGTTCAAGACAAGATCAACTTCGTTGCGGCAAAGCTCTCCTTGGAATTACAAGGCGAAGTTATGTCAGTTTAGAAAAAAATTAAAACGCGTCGTTTTGGCTTGCTAGGGTTTTAGCCCAAAGTGGAAAGAGTATAAAAGGCAACAAAAATGATTTAAAAAGAGTCTGAGTTCGTCATTTGGGAAGCAGCTCTTGGAAGGAGAGGAAAATTGAAGATTAAAGCTCCATTTTTAGAAGATTTCTTCCATCTTTGCTTGTTTTTCCAATGATGAAATTTGATTACACTTGTTTTTGTTGTTTTACTTCGTTTTTGACAATGAACTAAGTTGTTTAGCTAGGGTTTGATGTATTATTGATACAATGATTCAAATTATATGAATTAACCTACTTTAAGTTTTGATTTCATAATTGAGTGTTTATCACTTTACTTAATACCTTTGAATGTTCGATCACCATTCAATTGATATGTTGTTCACAATGAGACTAAAAAGTGATTTGTGATGTGTGTCTCTTGGGATCCATAAAGCTTAAGAGACTTTGAACTATTAAACTTTAATTTATGAGTTTAGAAGATTAATAGGAAGAGGTGGGGTGGTATAACCTGAGAAGGAGTACCAAATAACATAGAGAATTCAATTTTCAATCAAAGAATTAGAATTTGGGTAATAGATTCTATAATTTGGGTTTGCGTATCTAGGTGAAATTAACACTCTAACATTTTTTCAGCATTGTTTGATTCACTGGTTTATTGAGTTCTGCCTTAATTCGATTGTTATTCATTTATATTTTGTTAATTTGTAATTAGTTTGTTAATATTCCATCAATTCATTCATTATTGCTTCAATTAGGGTTAAAATTAGAGAAATCAGTAGTTAATAGACTTTTCTCGTGAGAATGATGCTTTACTTCATCATTTTATTACTTTTTTGCAACTAATACACTTGGTAAACGAGCAAACAAAATACACGCATCATTACTAACAATTTAAATTCGTAAGTTTACAATTACTTGTCAATTTTAATCTTTATTTTTTCTTTCATCAATTCCCCAAACTATCCTATTTTCTAGGCTTATGTTTCTAATAGACATTTCTACATTCTACAATTGCCCATCATGCCACATGGAAGATTGATTTTTACAAACTAAATCAATTATTTGCCAGCATTGTTTTTTCCTTTCAATTCTCAATTAATTTGAATACCTAAATTGTGTGAAAAGAAAATAGTTTGAGGTCGGGCATTTGTAGTGGTGGACTGGGTTTCAAATTCTTCATCGATTGGTTCGACCCAAGCCAATGCTTAACCCAGAGTCATTAAATTTGGCCCAACATAGCCCATACATCTCCATTATAAAATATTTGGATTAATCTTCTCATTAATACAATATTGGACCATCTATATTACTTATTAATTATATATTAACCAACTAACCGAGTTCTTCAGTAATTGTTTTACCTAATCTCATTTATTGGCAATTTCATTTTAGATTACCCCTTTAAGTAGAGTTTCAAATCGGACTTCTTCTATCAAGACACGAATTAATCAAATAATAAACATTACTTTGCAGGAAGGTGTGTGAGTTATAAGGAATAAGCCATGAATGACTCAAACTTAGGTAGTTTTTTTTACCATTTCAGACCAAAACTGGAAAGAGTAAAAGAAACCAAAAGGAAACTTCTGATTCTCGGTAAACCCAGTTCCAGTTCTAGATGAAAAAAGAAGAAGACCACAGTGTGTACTAGTTTTGAGGTTTTGACCATTTCGGTAGTTATCTTTTTCAACCACTACACAACACATTGATAAGTCAATAGATCCGCCAACAATTCTAGAAATCTGGTGAGCTCAGCCATCTTGGGTCATCAACTAATTCCTTTTTTTTTTTTCTTTTTTTCAATTCCAATTCTAGAACAAGTCTTTCTCTTTTTACAAAATCTAAAAGGTGAACCCGTATTCCTTGACTGGGTTTGTATTTGTACCATACAAAGTTGACAATTCAAATATGGAAACATTAATTGGAAATAAAGTGATTAATTATTCTGTGATTAGGTGGAATTTAAAAAACCCATAAAAATGATATAAAGCCAGTGTGAAAAGGTCAGTTTAAAAATGATTAGAAACCTAAAAATTTTGATGGTGTCTTCCTTCTGACTTTGTTGATTACGTGTAAGGTACATAATACTTGTCAGCAAAATCATAATAACCAGCACTAAAATTTTTAAATGTTGTTATCATCACACTCAACTCAATACTGATATAATATAAAGTGGTAATAGTACCAATTCAACTCCAGAATTGGCGAAACGCACGGTGAACCATTTCAACCACCGCCCATCTGCTTAGAAATTTCCACATTTTTTTTTTAAAAATTGAAAACCCAATTTAAATATACAAAAGCTGGCATGGGTTGATTAACAAAATCTTAAACAAGGTTGTTTTTGTCAATATGAAAAATAAAAAATTAAAAAGACCGGGAAGGACTTGTATTGGAACAGCTAACTCTACGACCTTTTATTGAAACTGTCAGCAACCAGAAACCAAAAACAATAAAACAAACCAAGTTAAAAGAGGATTAATAAACAGTTTTTCAGTTTCAAAAACTCTTTCTTCTACCTCTTGGGTTTCATGGCTGCCAAATTTCTTCTTCTTCTTCTCTTCTTTTACGTTATTCCTTTCTCTTCTTCCCAGCCTCAGAATATTGAAACTTTCTTTCCGTTTGACCTTCCATCTCCACCTCCTGCACCAACACCAGCACCTAATTCACCAACAAATCCATCACCTCCACAAGAATCACCACAATTACAACCCCCGCCACCGCTGCCTCCGCCGCCTGTATCACCGCCGGAATCAAACTCTTCGTCAAATCAGAACACCATTGTAAGGGCAGTGGCTGTCACTGCAGCCGGCACTATAATTGTTGCTGCCGTATTTTTCTTTCTACTGCAAAAGTATTTTATTGCACGACGTCGAAGAGACAAAGTTGGTAATATTTCCCAACCTGGAAATGGTCATGGTCCACAGGGTGGCCAGCTTACCACTTTGCCTCCAAATGATTTCACAAGATTTGATGGGAATGTCAGAGGGTTGATTGTGGATGAAAATGGATTGGATGTGCTTTACTGGAGAAAGCTTGAAGAGGGCGACAAGAACCAGCTCAGGAGTTTTGAGAAAGAGATTTTACAGAGTCCTCCAAGTAGTGATGAAGATAAATTAAATGAAACGACGATGAAAAAGTCTGAGGAAATACAAGAAGTTCCTCTACTTAGAGGAAGTTCTTCATCATCTTCCTACAATTCGATTAGACCCGAAGAGACTTATCAAAATCGAATTATGGCTTCTAAGGCACCCCCTCCATCAGTTTCCTTCAGGACTATTGAAGAAAAAGAAAAACCAATTCAACCGTCTACTCCTTCTCTTCCCCCGGCACCACCACCACCACCACCACCACCCCCGCCAAGTCAAAACAACAACAGACCTTCGCCTCCTCCGCCATCTCCACCAATTCCAGGAAAGAAAAATCCCAGTCCACCTCCTCCACCACCAAAGGCTGGTGGTTTGAAAACATCTTTAAAACCACCTTCAGGGTCTAAAGGGTCTTCAAGTGAGGTAGGAGATCCTTCTGCAAGTGGAAATGGTCAGGTAAAATTGAAACCGTTGCATTGGGATAAGGTGAACAAAAATGGAGAAAAATCAATGGTGTGGGACAAAATTGATAATGGTTCCTTCAGGTAACTGTAATCTATAATTTTAGTTTCATGAATTATACACAATCAATCATGTTTTGTTTTACTTATGCTTAAAGCCTTTTTATTGACATTTCAGGTTTGATGGTGATCTTATGGAAGCACTATTCGGATATGTAGCTAGTAATCGGAAATCGCCTCCAAGAACCAATGACTCAAGGGACCCAAAGAATCCCAACTCACAGATTTTGATTCTTGATGCCCGAAAGTCTCAGAATACTGCAATTGTGCTCAAATCTCTGGCACTCTCTCACAAAGAACTACTCAATGCGCTTAACGAGGGCAAAGGCCTAAATGCAGAAACTCTTGAAAGGCTAAACACGATTGCCCCAAATAAAGAGGAACAATCCCAAATCCTCAAATTCGAAGGTGATCCAACCAGGCTAGCTGATGCTGAAGCCTTCCATTTCCACATTCTGAAAGCCATTCCCTCAACGTACACTCGTCTTCATGCTATGCTGTTTACATCAAACTATGACACAGAGATTCTCTATCTCAAGGATTCTATACAAACACTTGAGTTGGGATGTAGGGAGCTTCGAACTCGAGGACTCTTTATGAAACTCTTGGAGGCAATACTCAAGGCCGGAAACAGAATGAATGCAGGAACTGCCCGCGGCAATGCACAAGCTTTCGACCTTACAGCTCTTAGAAAACTCTCTGACGTTAAAAGCGCTGACGGCAAAACTACTCTGCTTCACTTTGTGGTAGAAGAAGTAGTTCGCGCAGAGGGAAGACGTTGTGTTATCAATACTAATAAGAACTTAAGTCGCAGCAGCAGCCGGAGTAGCAACAGCAGCATAAATTCTGAGTATTCAACACCAAAAGAGGATAAAGAAAAGGAATATATGATGCTAGGATTACCAGTGGTAGGAGGCCTCAGTGCCGAGTTCTCTAATGTTAAAAAAGCCGCTACAATTGATTATGACACCTTTTGTTCAACTTGCTCTTCACTCTCAGCCCGTGCAGCAGAAATTCGGGAGCTTGTATCCGAATGTTCTGCTGACGGAGGCGGAGGATTTGTTAAAGAAATGAAAGGTTTTCTTGACGCAGCTGAAAATGAGCTGAAGGTGCTGAGAGAAGAGCAAACGAGGGTGATGCAACTTGTAAGGAAAACTACAGAATATTATCAAGCAGGAGCTGCAAAGAATAAGGGAGCACATCAACTGCAACTGTTTGTTATAATTAAAGATTTTCTGGGGATGGTTGATCAAGTTTGTGTGGAAATTGCTAGAAATTTGCAAAGGAGAAGGGCATCGGCGTCAGGCATTGGATCGTCACCGCAGTCACCAGGATTGAGAACTGTGAGGTTCCCAAACTTGCCGGAACATTTCTTGACGGATAAGTCCAGGAGCAATTCTAGCGGATCAGATTCTGATTAATCCTGAAGAGGTACATATACAATTTGTTTGAAAATATAATTGATTTTATGTATATAGATTTTGATTTTAGAACAAAGGATCAATAGGAAAATAAATACAACTGAGTGATTTTTTTGTATTTTGCAAATATTAGTAAATTTCAATGAATTAATAATTGTTCAAGTTGGCTGATCTATTTATGTTTATTCTAGCCCCATTCCAGAATTATTCAATTATGTTTATAAGAAATAAACCAACTTCCAGGCCAATATGAGCTACAAGGAATTAAGAATCTCAGTTACTCGAAACCCATTTACATCCTGAACTTGGAAGGCCAAAAAGAACGAAGAAAACGTTAATTAAACATCATAAGGAGTGCAGCAAAAAAAGAAGTCAACAAGAATGACCTGATCAAAGTCTGACACTCCTTCGATGTTATTAAAGTTTAGTTGGTGATTACTGGTCCACTTACAACCTAATTAACTGCATACTCTTTTTCAGTTTAAATAGTAATCCAATACGATTTGGAAGTCCAAAACCGTGTGAGCCGTAAACAAACAGGAATTGTTCATGGAGTCCGACGACAAAACAATTCCATCCCAGAAAGCCATGACAGTGAAGTTTTAGATTAGAAAGTCCATCTGGTATAATGCACTTAATTTCCACAATGGTCCATCAACCTGCCAAGACTAGCTTTTCTTGTTTATAATAAACTAAAAGAAACTAATGTTTCCAATTCTAGGCCTCCAACCAAACACCTACTTAGAAACTGCTAAGATTGTGATCGTTGCCGTGGCGTTGCCAACAAGTTGGACGTGGATTTGGAATGGGAATGTTTGTGGGAATTAGAAGTCAATTAGTCAAGCAAGAAGAGACAATTCCTGGCACAGTTTCCACATTTCATCTCGCTTAATAATGACGGACGATCAACAATAAAAACACTACTTATAATTTGTCATTTTGATTAACCCTGCAAAAATTATTCGAACTTTAAAAGATACCTTTCTATTCGATTTACATTTTTACCTACGGGTTAGTTTTAATGGCAGAAATTGACAGTAATGGAGGTAATTGTGTAATCTAATCGGGGGTAGGTAAATGGTTTTACTCTATAAAACTATTTGAATGAATTAGACCAGTTATTTTTTAACCATTGTTTAGCTTTTGAAAGATTTAATAGATAAATAGGATATTTTGTTTTCATCTGAATATTTTTTTTCCCTTTTAATCATAAAAATTAACTCAAAACTTTTTATTTTTATTAAAAATCCTAACCCTAATATTCTTCACTCTTTTATTGATCCATACTTCAAAAATAGATGAATTCAAGAGTGTGCTATTCTTATCGAGTTCCAAAGATTTCATATTCTATTTTAAGTATTTTGTATTATAATCTTAAAAACATATTCATTGAAAGGAGGAAATTAAGTACCTATATTGTTTCAAATTGAAAGCAATAATATAATTACTACTTAAAATTTCTTCAAAGAAGAGGAAATTATTGGAAAGAAACTTGTAGTTCTAAAAGCCAAAAAAAATTACAATAATGCTAGCGACGCCAAAGTTTTACACCGAACGACGTGTCATTTGAGTAAGCGCAATCCGTAACACATTAACAAATATTTCGCGAATGAACAGTCATCCATCAAATATGGACGAGCGTTCATGATTACTGGACAACCGTTTATTTTAAATGGACTTCCGTCCATATTATATAGACGGGAGTCCATTTAATATGGACGGACATCCACCTAGAATAGATCATTATCTATAGTTTAAATTAAAACAAAAATAATGGACACCCGTCACTATTAGAAAAAAAAAATAAAAAAAAATTGTATGTTTATTTTCTGATTCATTTTTCATGATGGAAAAGCATAAGAAAACCACATTGTTTCCTAAAAAGTTTTAAGTAAAGGAACATTTAGAAACTTTTGTCTTGTAATTGAAAGTAACATATGCTTTTCTATGTTTTGCAGTGATTGCAAATGGTCTCTATAAGCAACTGTGATCTAAAGTTGATCATGTAGTTGAACCAAGTTGCAGGTTGAAAGAGCTTGCTGAAGATGCAACTGAAAATTTTGTGAAAGAGCAGAGTTCGGACAGTGACAATAGAGTTTATACCTTTTTAGCTCGAGGTTGTACATCATTTCCTGTCAGGGGATTGATTTTTGAGGCAATCTATGCTTCTAGCACTGATAATTATCCAGAGCAAAGCATTCACAATACTCTGGAACCTAGCAATAGAGTTGCAAGGAGAGCTTAATACTGGTCAAGTAAAGGACATAACAATCCTGCTGTGCCTGAGACATTGATATATAAGTTGGCTGGAGATCTGTGCGTTATATCTGAAATCAACATACAACCTTTCCACGACATCTACACCTCAAGTTTCAGCCAGTGAAGCTTCATCATCGACAGGCAGCCATTTTGACGCCGTTCCATTATGCTTCTTTGATTTTCTCGTGGTAGGAGCCACATGAAGTTAAGAAGGAATGAAAAGCTAAAAGAAGTTCATTTCAAGGAATCATCAAAAGAAGACTTTAATATTGATGCACTTCATGATAGGTGATAAACCATTACAGGTAAAAGAGAAAGGATTTTTGTTTCAGTTGGTGATAGTGCATTAATTTTTTTTTTTCTAATAGGGACTACGTCCATTATTTTTGTTTTAAAAATTCTTTAATTTAAACTATGAACAAACATCAATTCTGCGTGTACTAGACGTTCATAGTAAATGGATTGTTGTCCATATAATATAGACGAGAGTCCATTGTTATTTTCGCATGGACAGGAGTCCATTTAAAATGAACAGTCGTCCAATAATCATGAACGCTCATCCATATTTGATGAACGACCGTTCATTCACGGAATATTTGTTAATGTGCTACGTGACTTCGTCTACTTATGTGACACGTCATTTGATACAAAATTATGGTATAAGACTTCGGTGTCCATAGCATTATTGAAAAAATTAATCAACAAGTTCTAGTGACATAAAACTTAATACATGCACCAAAGTAAAAGAGAAATATGACATTGGCTTGATATAAATGACGGAGAATATATAATTGATAGAGGATAATATTTAAAGTGGAAATATAAACAAAAAGATTATTTTGTAAATGGGTGAGGTTTGTTTAGATATTTCTGTTTATTTAAAAATCTTAATAGGGTAAATTTAGAATTGGGTCAACAAAGATTAAAAGTGGGGTGCCAATAGCATCATTACTCAAAATAAAATACTAGTATTAACAAAAATTACAAAACAATAGTGTACCAACATACACATATTTGATTGTAGGAGCTATCAACCACAAGAACTACGTGCTCTTCCAACATTTTTACAGCTGAGTAGCCAATAAAAAACTTCATATTCTACTTACAAAACTATATTTAATTTTTATTTTTATTTCCAAATTATGGGTAAAGGAGGTGGTAGCTAAAACGAAGTAAATAGTTCATCAATGAAAGATAGCATGGCTTCAGTCTCTTCTTTATCTCTTTCACATTATTTAATATGCCCCACAATCAAACAGGATGAACATTTATGGGTTGAATACTGTAGCAATGTATCTACAGCCTGCAACTCATCAATGACTCAGGCCTCTGCCAAGAAATGATATCATAAATGGGGCATTTGCCCTTACTCAGAAGCAATGGCTTTCATATGTACCTTCTGTTCATGGATTTCATTAGCCTCCTTAGTAGTTGCATATCTTGTGTTTCTTCACCTACCACTCTTTGTAATTAGATTATGCTGCTTCATACTTTCGGTGTACAGGATCCAGGTTACCGATGGATCTCATTCTTAGAATCCTCCTGCAATATTAGATATATGTCACATTCATAGTTTATATTGATAAGCAGAGATATAAGCTGAGAATAAATCAAGACGTTGAATCACTGACATGGTCATAATGCAGGTTATATTTTCCCTCTTTTCTAGCTACGCAGAAGCAATTCACCATACAGGAAATGCTCACTGTTCTACAGCAATTCAATTACTTTTATTTTAGGTAATTCAACTTACACCAGGAGCTAGTTCTAAGCAACTTCTTTGGTGTGTGCTAGACACGTGCATTTTATCTTGAAGGAAACAAATCATCCAGGTCCATTGGGCATTAATAGTTTTCTTTTTGGTAATCGAAACCCCGACCTCACTTTGCAAACCCGAGTTTAAAGTGAAATCCTTGCCAAACTATACAACTTTGAGAATGAGAAACAATGCATTTGACCATGTAGGTGCCCAGAGGGGAGTCAACCCATTAGGCAGTAATAATTAATTTGACATATTAGTAATTAGGTAGAACTTCCTTGTAAAGGCTTGTAAAGATCCCCAGAGAATATTAAAGTTTTAAGTCAAAGGAGATTTAGACAAGAACAAGTTGGTTGCATGTAAACTTTTTACAATTCTAAGATGATTGATAGCTTCTAGAAGTGGTGAAACACAAAAGTTTTCACACATTTTGAAAAGCTAGCATGTTTGAAGTGTCACCAACTATAATGCAGAATAGACATAGCCTCGTTTTGATGGCGGAGGACCTGCAGCTTCATCTGCCACCAATGACTAAAACTAATGCTAATAGTATTTACCAGAACTTAAAACTATAGTCCATTTTATACACAGAACGATTCGAAATTGAAATAATTAAAATCGAAAGATTTAGCATAACATGAAAATAAAGGATCGTTTTAAACATTATTCACGTTAACACACTGACAAAACATTGGCTGGGAACAGACAAACATAAATTCAACCCAAAATGCCCACACCAGGGTAATTCATCTACAACTCACTATGTGAGATGTTATGTTTCTAGAGTAATAATGATGAAACTTTACTTGGTATCAGAATCACTTGTAATAGAAGTACATGGATTTAAGGCATACCTTTCTAAAGAGCCTTTAGTTATTCTTTGTCCATGATGTATAGCTGTTCATGTTGTGGCTTTGACATTAGGATCTGTCTTACTGTCTTTATCTCTGCTCCCTTATTCTCCTGTGTAAGCACAGGTATTCAGAAATGCCATTATTTGGATTTTATAGTTTTGAAAATCATTACATCTAATGACAGTTCCAATGATACTTTGTAAAGAGCTTATTGGACTGTAATGAGTATATAACCATCTTAATTGACAACAAGATTCCAATGCATGTTTCTCACTGAAAAAAATAATGAGGTATAATATACCTTCGATTTGGGTGGGTGAGTTCTGTTTGCCTCTCTAGCATAAGATTTTTTTCCTCCAGTTTCTTGGAGAACTGAATTGATTGATGAAATTAGATAATAACATAAATGGTTAAAAGAAAGCAACATTTCATACTTCAAAAGAACTTTGTGTTATTGATTGATTTGGAGAGGGAGACGAGAGAAGGGGAAGTTAAAATGGATCCCTCTCCTCTCTTCTCTGCACTTTCATTCCTTTTCATGGGTAAAGAAGATGAAGCAGCTTACCAGTTTTTTCTCCACGTCACCTACTTGAATGACCTATTTCAAACCAACCAATGCAAAATTTAAGCTCACCGAAAAAGATAATGAAATTATGAGTATCAGAAAAATGTCAGATCTCATCATAAATGAAATTTTAAACCATTTCTTTAGAACAAAATCATAAATGATGCTATGATCAAGGTTATGCTTAGTTTACAAAGAAAATATAGTGCAGCAGCCGCCATTATTTATATAAATAAGTTTCTATTGCTCTTCATTCACCCTCTAACTCAGCACCTCCTAAGTTATCTTCATATTCTATTGCTAGTCTGAAAATAATACATGATAGTGAAGATACTCACATATAATAATAGTGTCACTACTGATATGCTGCACGTTTTGGATGCATACAAGTAACACACACCTATCACTAATTGACACAAAAGTATGAGTCTAGTTGTTATAAATCCATTAGCAGACAAGGGCAAATCCAAAAGTTTACCCTCCTTCTCTTTTCGTGGAGTCATGAAAGCTGAAACCCTTGGTTCTGTCCCCTTTGCTGGCACCGCTGAAGAAATGGAAGACAGAAGTTACATAAAATTTGACATTTCCACAAGCCATAAGAGAATTGAATGGAAACAGGAGAGATGTCAAAAGGCCTCTTCCAAGGTTAAACATATACAATGACAAACCTGCTTCGGTGCCAAGATTGTCTTCACCAGCATTGTCAATTGATTGTATCTGTTCTGAAATGTTTTGAATGCTCGTTTAACAATGTCCTTATCACCCATACTCTCCATAACAAAGATTTTCTAGTTGTGGTAACAGAAGTTGGATCATGTACGATGGACCCAACTAAGGGACTGTGCAAGGACTAGGAGCTAATTTCTTGCTTTCTCTCCAGAAGGATTCTTTGACTTTGACAAGATGAACTGTTTCCTATCCTTGCTGAAGACATTGAAGAATAATTTGAGTAGAAGCCAATGTTGTCTTTGAACACTCTTGCCTGACTTACATTGAGCCTAGTTAGAGTCGAATGCCTTAGTAATGGTTGGACGCCTTAATTATTGGGTGATGCCTTATTTGTTATGGATGATGCCTTACTATAGATGGTGCCTTAGATACTGGTGATGCCTTGGCTATGACGATGCCTTGGCTATAGCGATGCCTTGGCCATAGATGATGCCTTAGTAACAGGTGATGCCTTAGCTGTAGGTGATGCCTTAGCTAGGGATGATGGCTTTGGATACTGCCAATTCGTTTTTCTTTGCCCTTGTGATGTTTCTCTCCTCATTCACAGAGTAATCTAGAAGCAGAAAAATTCACCCAAAAAAAAATCAACCCTGCAACTAAATTCCACAGAAACATAATAATTAGAGTTAAGCTGTCCTATTAAAACCGTTATGAGATAAAATAAATCTGACCATATGAGATTCCTTTGAACGATCGAACTTCACATTTTCTTCTAATCAGTTGAAGTGTTTTCCATCTCCTTTTGCTGCAACTTCTTACAGCTTGCACCCCCGCGGAAGTATTTTTCACTTCTTCTTTCACCATAACATGTACATCTTCTTCTGATTTGTCGACATAGGACTTTCTAATTTTCTTTCAGCTTCCTCTTTCCTTTCCTCAATTGATGAACTCGGAAACCCTATTGTAACTGCAGCTCTTACTTGGCTCATTAAAAAGGGTTCCACACACTTCTTAGCCAAGCTGGTTCCCTGGTTCACAACTTCAGCAGAAGTCTGGCACTCAGATGAATCAGATTCTACTTAGTATTGGAATATCTGCAATCAGATCCCACAAGTTTGATCATTCGATCTAAAAATCCTTCTCCATTTGCTTCTCTGATCCGTAACTCAGCCTTCTAGCAGCAATCTTCTTGTAATGAGCTTCAAAATAAGCGGCTTTCTGAGCTACTGATCCCGGCGTTGCACACCTCTCAACTTCTTCCAAGTATCTTATTGGGTGAAAAATGACCTTTCTCCCAACAGTGAATCATTCGCAAATCTACCAATGAAACCGACACTTCCAGGACAGGATTGAGGGAGCTGTCTCTCCCATCTGTTTACATAACATAAACGCCAAAATCTAAACATACTCTCAAGTGATAACCAGACAACTCTAACACACAAACATCACAGGAATTTTACAATCAGGAACTCCAAAACCTTAAAATATGTTCAAAACCAATAATGGAGAATGAAACATTTTATTTATTTATTTTAACTCATTAAAGGACAAGCTGTACCTCACTTCATGATTTGAGCGTCCCTATGATTCGCCCATATATTCTGATAGCAGGGGACTGATTACCACAAAACTACCACACCAAAGACACAAAATTGTACAACGTGACCTGTACGGGCATGGGCATGAAATCAATCTTTTGGATCAAACAAAAAAGAGCAATACAATGAAGACAAAAAGAAGACTTGTAAAGAATGCAATGAATGAATGAAGAAGAAGATAACAAGGCATGTGCTTGTGATTTGCTCATCTACTATTATCACTTCCCCACCTTTTTACAGCAATGAAAACCTTTGTCAGTTTCTATTGCTTCTGGTTCTGGAAACCCTTGAAAAGATAATAATAACTCGGCCATACTACTAGGAGAAAAGTTAACCTACCCACCCACATTAGATTTCCAATGCATCATATTAATCTTTTCAAATTTTCACAGTTAGTAAAGACAAAAAGGTGTGATATTTAAGAATCGTCAAGGATTAGTTGGATCAAATTTGGAGATTCAAAGTGGGTACATTGATTAAACACTGTAATTGTTTATTATTATTTCTAAATTGGATTTCTCAGTCAACAAGTCAAACACAGAGACTGAAGCCCCACTCAGTTATTTATCCACCATTGTAGGGCATCTTCCACCGTGGATTAAATTACCTCAACTAGTCACATCTGGATTAAATCCAATTGGTCCTAACTTGGCCGTAACATAAGGTACAGTAAATTTGAGTAATTTAAGGTCCGTTATGTAGGTAATCATTTTTTTTTTTTTTTTTGTAAATATTTAAATACCCTTAATCTGTTAATTTTATTTTCTTGTGAATTTTTCGAAATTTCTAGGCTGTTGCGTTTGTTTCAGTTTGGAATACTACTTTTAGTATTCCCAAAAAATTAAAAAACATTAAATACCCAAAACCTCCGATTTTGTGAGAATACCCTCCCATATTATTCCTTTTTTTAAACCCCTTAAATTTGATAATTGTAATTAAATACCCCTAAATATTTTTTGTTAAAATTACAAACAACAACCCCCATATCACATTTACCAGATTCGCCACCACCACGAAAATGGCGAATCGGTCAGGATGGGCGCACTACCGACTGAATCTGGCCGGTAGTGATCCGATCTCTGGCCGGAAAAGTCAAGCGACGCATGACCTGCAAGATCCAAAGCCGGTCATGCGCATACGGCGACGCCTGCCACCCTCCGATGGTGGTCGCCGGCTGGGGGTGTTTGAGGGTGGATTAGGGGTATTTTTGTTAACTTTTAATGTTTTATTATAGGGGGTATTTTGTAAAAAAACAAACATAAAGGGTATTTTATTAATTTATAAATTCTACATCGTAATACCCGCCCAATTCAACTTTTTTTTAACTTTTTTCAAAAAACTTTTCCCAAAACCCCCAAATTTTGAACCAAACGGAGCCCTAAATTTTTAAAAACATTCTCAGTTAGCAGACTTTTTTTTAATAACTTTTAATTTTTAAATTCATTTACTTAAGAAAATATTAGGGGTATTTCAGACTTTTACCAAAAAAATTAAAAAGCTACTACCTTACCTTACATTTTACAAGGCCCTAATTGTTGCTTCAGATTCTACTGTACCATTCTGATAGTAGGCCAAACATGAAGGACCACAATGGATTTAACTCCACATTATTAACTTGGATATGTCAAAATGGGGAACAACGATGTCGTTTTTTAAGGATATAATAACCTCTGTTATTATAGTACTGTATCCTTTTTAATTCTGGGGTTGTTAAATATTATAAGCACATATTTCACTAAATAAAATGATTAAAGTGGATAGATTTTTATTGAAAGTGCTGTTGCTTTAAGGTCAATCGACAAAGTAGTTCGTCTTTTTGCTAACTAAACATACATCAATCAATCTCTCTCTGTGGGGGCTCTGATTGTTTCTTCTTTAACTTGCCTTGTTTTTCCCTCCTCCAATGTCCCTTAAGCTACTCAATCACCTTATTTTGCACATTAATTTTTTTTTTTTTTTTTCAACTCTTCGAAAAACATTTCTATTCACCATCAACTGTATATATAACTTTAGCTAGCTTATTGATGATATTCACATCCCAAAACCAAAATTTCTAGCCATGCTACACTTATTCCTTTGTTGTCTAGCTCTTTTATTGAGCCCGGCTAAACCAGACCCAGATCCATTACAAGATTACTGTGTTGCAGACAATAAAACTCCCCAATCTGTTTTCATTAATGGTGTGCCATGTATTAATCCAAATTTAGCAAGTGCTTCTCATTTCAAAACTTCAGTTTTAGGCAAACCTGCCAAGACCAGTGGAAATCCATTCGGATTCAATGTGACACTCACCGGTGTTGCAAATTTGCCCGGGGTCAACACCATGGGCCTGATTATGGTCCGAGGTGACATAGCGGGTAATGGGCTAATCCCGCCCCACTCACACCCACGGGCCTCAGAAGTAACCATATGTCTTACGGGCAGTGTTCTTGTGGGCTTTGTGGACACGTCAATGCGCTTATACACACAGCAACTTCGTCCAGGTGAATCGTTTGTGTTCCCGAAAGGATTGATTCATTTTCTATTCAATCTCGACTCATCCAACCCGGCACTGGTCTTGTCTGGGCTTAACAGCCAAAACCCTGGAACCCAAATAACTTCTTTGGCCGCATTTACATCCAATCCATTGATTCCTGACGAAGTTTTGAAGAAAGCATTTCAAATCAACAGTCAAGATGTTGCTAGAATTCATAAAAACCTTGAAGGGTAATCACACGTTTGAAGAGAGTTTGTTTAATGATAATTATTGTGTAATTCATACAACTATTTATTATTGAAACCATGTAGTTGGGGTTGGGGTGATGCCTGATGTATGTAGAAAGTTAGGTTTGGATCGGGGATAAATAAGATAACAAGGGTAATCTTCGTTTATTTTGCAAGATTCATGTGTTTGGTGTATTTTGCAAGATTCATGTGTTTGGTGTATTTTGCAAGTAATAAAATATTACTATAATCTTTTATTGCAAATAGTATTTATGCTGGTAATGTGGTGGGTAATCTTATTACTTTATTAGGGGGTGTTCTTAAAACATTACTAAGGTAATCTGATTTTTTTAGCCATTTTGCCCTTAAGTAAAAACTACTTCAGACACAATTGTCCTCAAATGTCTATCAAATAACAATTATCCAGCCCCCCTACATTTGAGCAATTAGCTAAAACACCCCAACCACAAAAAAGTTTAAAAATTAACAAAATACCCTCAGCCACCTAACACCACCGTCGGGGGTGACTCACCACCGCTGGCCACCGACGTCAGTCGCCGTAATGGTTCATGACTAGCGAGATCTGGCTGATCGTGCATGGGAAACGGCCAGATCTGGTGTTTCTATGGTTGTGAAATGACCCTTTTTCGGCCATGGATTTGTGATCCATGACCATTTTCGGCTTTGCCAGCGCACAGCCGACCATATATGACCAATCCTGATCATTCTGTCAACTACCGACAGTGGCCGGCAGTGGTGGTTGGCTGCTAGCACTGGCTTGGGGTGGGTGGGGGTGATTTTGCTATAAATTAAAGTTTTATATGGCTAGGGTGTTTTAGTAAAATTTCAAATGTAGGGGGTTAAAAAAAAATATTCAAAAAATAATAATAAAAAACACTATTATATTAATATTTTAAAAGGTGGGCAATTTAGTAATTTATATAACATACCCATCCATTTATCCTCCCAACCAAATATGTTATTTACCAATTTATTCGAACCAAACATTCTCAGTAATCTTCAAGGTGATATTTCTTTCCGTTAATATAATATATTCATATAATAAAACATTATATGATCCAAACACCCCCTTAGAGCTGGTCAACGACCGATCCGAAGTGGGCCCAACCCTGGGCCTGTTTGGGATTGGTCGCATTTAGGACCAGTCGCTCATGGGCTTGGGACCGGGCCTAGGCCCATGAGCAATTTTAGGACCCGGATCTGTCCTATGGGCTTGCAAAATTTTATTTTCCCCCTATCTTTTTTTATATTTTAAGGGCGAAATGAAATTTTGTAGGGGGGTTTAGTAATTTTCAGGGGTAGATTAGTAAGTTTTTAAAGTTTAATTAATTTTAAAAAATAATAAATAAATTAATGGTTAATTTTAACATAAATGTAATATTCACACATTCACGCTTTACAAATAAACAATTAAATAAATTTTTTTATTAAATTATTCGTCTTCATCGTCAACAATATTTAAATCATTAAAATCTGTGTTCCTAAAGTGTTCGAGTAGTTTAGGATCTTCAGGGTGCTGTTGTAGTCTTCTCTCTGTATGAGTCCAATCCCGTAAACACGTTATCACTTCAATCATCTCATCGGTTAAAGAGCATCTTCTGTCTTCAATAATCCGGCCACTCGTTGAAAATGTTGACTCAGATGCAATTGTAAAAACTGGCACAGATAAAATGTCACGTGTCATTTGGGCTACAATGGGGAATCAACTTTGATGTTGGTTCTATCATTGAAGCAAATCTCTCTCATGTTTCTCTTTCTTCGTCATGTAGGACAAGTCCATTTTAGGTAACGATTAAGCTCATTAGGTCTATGTATGTACGAGCTGGAGTTTCTACTTCCGCCATGTTCCATATACGTCCACATGCTCGATCCTTGATGGATATCTTCATCAGGATCCTGATCGTCTCTCTTGGACGTTCCACTTTCACTTCCATTGTACCTGTTCTGATATAAAGAAAAAAAACTTTCCAATTTTTGCTTAAAGCCAGTCAAATAAGACGTGTAATCATGTTCTAAATGCTGGCCTATCACAGTAATTATACAATTAACTACGTGTAATTTAAACCTAAGATCTACAACAAGGCCTAATCCATATAAGAATGGAATATCTAACCAATATTTCTCGTATTTTTCTTCCATCTTTAAAACAATTTCCATTAAAACGTCATTATATCTATATTTAGCAATAGTTTTAGAAATTTGAAGTAAAATATCTAACGCAAAATTAGTAGTGGGATAATAAATATCCCTTAATGTATTAGTGGAATCATAAATTTTTTTAAGAAATGAATAAAAAAGTTCACAAACCACCCTATAATCATAGCTGACAACTTCCTCTGGATGGTTCTTTTGGTTGACGAAATCTGTAATTTGTCTTGCGGTTGGCAAAGCTTTTTCCAACATCAAGTAGGTGAAGTTCCATCGGATAGGCATGTCTGTATATAACTTCAAAGGTCAAACTGGTGGGTCATCTTGCCTACAATATTTGACGTACTCTTGCCATCTTTTGTTGCTACTGCCGATGATAAATCTGATAGTTGCGCGCACCCTCTCCATCTTCAAATGTATAACATCTAAACCTACTTTAACAATCAAATTGATGACCTGGCAAGCACATCTCTGGTGAATTTTTTTTCCTTCACCACGTGGATCCAATCTCTTTTCAAATAAAGAGATTCTCGCTGTGTTAAAAACTGCATTATCAAGCATTAACGCTACAATTTTATCAGTTAATACATATTCTTGCAAAACCTCAAGAATTGTAAAATAAATAGTGTCAGCACTATGTTTTTCATATAATAGTTTAAAACCCATCAATTTTTGTTGTAAACCCCAATTATGATCTAAGAAATGTACTGTAACAGTTAAAAAATCTGTTTTTGATCTACAAACCCATATGTCTTATGTAAGTACAATAGATATATTCCTAAAATTTTGAAATTTATTTTTAAGTTTATTATTTATTTTGTTATAAAGTTTTAGTATATTTCTTCTACTTGTACTTCTACTAACAAGGGTATATGTGGACAAAATGCAGTTTTAATCATATGAATAAAATAAGGATTTTCAGATAAACAAATAGGAGAGTCCGTAGCAACTATGAATCTTGCTATTCCCTCACATGCAACATGTGCATTGTATTATAATGTTGAGAGAGTGAGGATTATGGATTAAAATTAAGTTGAGTTTGAATTTGCCTACCTGATCCGGTTAAAGATGTACCGGACAACTGCATTATTTGGGGGTACTTCTTCTCTAAGTGTCGTTGCATCGTCGAAGTCCCCTTCTCAGCGTCAATAATGGTTCCATGGAAATTACATACCCCACACGATTCTTTTCCCTCCCCATTTGTCTTTGGCCGTTTTGATTTGGTAAAGTGTCGTCATACATCGGACACGACCCTTTTCGACGGTCGGGGGAGTTGGGTCATGCCCGTCCCCGTTGAGTCGCAGCTCGCTTGTGTTTGGCTGCACCTCATCCCGGTCGAATGTGGTTGTTAAATTGCAGTTGCTGCCTCTGGAGAAAATTGCAAGGAAACGATCCATTGAGGCAGCGGAAAAACAAAAACAATAATACAAGGATCGTTCCCATAGAACCAAGATTAGAGTATAATTTTACAGTTTATATCATATTAAGAATCTGCAGAAAATTAATCTAGAGTTTAAGAAGTCATACGCACGTTTAGAGGCTCCTCCAACTTTGTCTTTGAACGTTTTGCTACCGACTAAAGTATAGGGTCGAACCGACGTATTCCACACGAAGACAATCGCAAGGAACTAAGGAGAGATTTGCTAGATCCTCCTTAGCCTTAAGAATCAAAGAAGAAATGAAGAGAAATTGATTTTAGGCAAAAATCAATTCTGGCATGAGAGAGAGGAAAGGGGGCTCTGTGTGTGTTTTTTTTTTCAATCAAAGTGAACGAATAAAAAAACTCTCTTTACTTTAAATTAACACTTTTCTTTTATAGTGTTATTTTAATTGTCCTATTCCCATATGGAATAGACTTGGCTCCAACCCAAACACCCCATGTTTCCAAACACTCCCAATTAGATATTTATTTTAATTCATCATTATCTCAATTAAAATCCATTAATATATAATCTCAATTAAAATCCATTAATATATATATATATATATATATTAATAGTAATATTAACAATAATGATATTTATGTTAAATATATGCTAACACATATTTAAATATAATCTCAGTTAGTAATTTTTTCTAACAAATTAAATAAAAGGCTACAATCTCAGCAAATTTAAGTGCACTGTGAAATTACCAAAATACCCTTTCACCTAAAAAGATGAAACGCTCTTTACTTCCTGATTTAAATTATCTTCTATGCGTGTGACCCATGACTACTCATCATACCAGCAGTGTGTATATACACGATAACACAATTAATCGTCTCACTAATCACAGACCAGATTGACCCTAGCAAGGCATCATGGCCACCTGATAGATTCAGATTCAACAAAGTAGCTACCTGTCAACGCAATGGTTACCGTACAATTCGATCATTTTATCATACGTTATCTCGACGAGACAAAGACATATAATGTGTCACCTTCGTTACTCTCGATATTATGTATTTAGTTCTAGATGTATAGTAATACATGTACGATATGATGCACACTCATCCCACTATCACCCCATTTTAGTGCACATTTTATATCTGAATTGCGTCGTGAGATAACTTCTCCCATACCCGAGAGTGATGAGATCTCCGTCTATCCACACATATTGACACTCCTTGATGCAGCCAATCACCACCGTATTGACAGTTCTGAATAGAACTGCGTTAGGCTAGCGTCAAACTGCACCAATCGGTGCACAAGGCGCTCTGGTGATTTCAAATCTAAGGATCACATGCACACCATTCGTTAGAGGATTTGTTCTATAGACACTGGGGTACCATCCATATGGAATCCTCTGGTGGATCAGTCCAGTGAATTTGCTCGGTATATCCGCCTACAGCAAGCACCCATGTGTTGTACCAGGTTGTCACCAAACAACTTGACAAGTGAGATCAGTCACTGCCTTCGACAGGGTCGTTCAACACTAGATAACCTTACCGTATTATCTGTGCCCTTACTTTAGAATAATACTGGGGCTACAGACGTTTCTAGAATAGCCACCATGTGCTCATAGGATTCTCACTATTAATTTGAAACAATTGATACCATCGTCATGGTTCTAC